ATATATATATATATATATATATATATATATATATATATATATATAATTATGTAGTTTTTCTTTTCAACTTTCAGTGAATGTGAGTCTAACACTGACTACAGTTTAGATCCTCAGTTCACTAGTAATTAATTGGGTTTGTCTGACCGGAAATAGGTTATCTCAAGAAGAGTTGTTCTAAAATTATAGACATAACCAAGTTAAACATTGATATTAGAAGTGGAAGGTATTAGTAGATTTTATGTGATAGAATTTAGATAGATCCCGTCTTTCTAAGTGAATGAAATTAAAAATAATTATGAGATTAAAATTGAGATAATATCTCATATGATACTCAATTATAAGCTTTTTCCTCAAAAGTCTCCGCATTTTTTTTTATAATTTCAAAATTACACAAATATAGTTATATACATACAAAGCACCCAGCCTAATTAGTTTGTCAATTTTTTTTGCTTTATACATGTAAATTAGATACAAAAGCTTAGACCCAAATATATTACTTTATTTGTTTTATTTTTGGGGGGAAAAACAAACATATACAATTTAAAATATTATAGTCTCCAAATTTTCTATTATCTAAAAATATTATATATAAAGATCTCTTCACTGATTAATCCTGGTACAATCTTGGATACATCATTACCCCTCCCACATATATTCTTATTTCCTCTCGAATACAACTATTATCTCTCGAATACATTACTCCCATTGAGTAATGTGTAACATTTACAAACTACAATGTATCGGACAATCAAGAAATGTATGCGAGAGCAATGAAAAATTAAAAATAGTTGTAATTGAACAAACTTTCGAAATAGAATGTAGCCTTCAAATGTATGAAATTTTTGTACTTTATACAATTTGTGACTTAATAGAATTAGGAGAGTCATTTACATTTTAAAATATTTATATATGTTGGTTATTTTTCAAAAAAAAATTAACGTACTTTTCAAATACTATTTGTGGCACATGTGATATTTTGAGAGTTAATTAATTTTTTAATATATTTATTTAAATATTTTATATTGTTAATAATTGTGATTTATGATACTTTCAATAAATGTAATTTTCAAATAATATATATTACCCCTTTTACTCAATTTATATGGCATATTTGAAGTTTCAAAAGTTAATCAAGATTTTGATATATTCATAAATATTTATATTGTTAAGTATTGTGATTTATAAACTTTTAACTTAATTTTCAAATAATATATATTACTCTCGCAGTCTCATTTATGTGGCATATTAGAGTTTACCAATTTTTTTGTATGATATTCTAAATATTTAAAATGTTAATTATTATAATTTACAATATTAATTTTTTATAATTATTAAATACGTAACATACTATTAAAGAAAGTAAGATAAAAATTAAAACAAAGTAACCACTAAATATTAATAGAGGAAATTGGAGGAGAACGGCGAATCAACCAATTGCGACTGACCCTAAGCTCCTCAATTCACTCTTCTATTTATAGATTTTTAAATAACATATTAAAACAAAAAATAAATGAAAAAATATTAAATATAAAATAGAGAAAAAAATGATGAGAAGGGTAATCGGTCAATTGGTCGCTGACCCTAAGCTCTTCAAATTGGCTCTTCTATTCAACTACTAGATGAGCGTTGCCCGTGCTAAGCACGGGCCCAACGTTTAATATTTTAATATTTTATATATTTATTATCATTTTATTTTACGATACATGTTCACAAAATAAATGCACTGTTTATTAAGTAAATTGACAGTATGAAGAAAGTGAACATCAAGAGCAGTTGAATGTTAACAAATTATCAATTAACATTTAGGAGTTGCTGACATACTTTAAGCTGATGATGCTGTAGTTGGAAGCATTATAGGTATTTATAATAGAACTAAATTTAATGAGTTGCATATTAAACAAACAAAATTAATATTTCAATGAGAAAAATTAGTGATTCGAACACATTATAGCTGCCAAATTTGTTCATAATATATTTTCGTGTGCATGTCATACTACTGAATGTCGAAGTGAGATACTTACATAGTTTAACATTTTCATATGTGGGAATACTAATTACATACATTTACATACTGTATAGAATGATAAAAACAGATGCATCTTTCATGCTTGGATCTTCTAGATCATCTTTGATAAAAAATCACCTGTTAGCACAGAATCGCATCACATAACTTTTACAACACAAAATGAAAAAAAATGTGGCAACATTAAGCTTCAACTAAGCCTCATCTTTGAATTCCTATTTCACGATTGACATAAGACATTTTATATAATAACACCAATATGAACAAAAGTATGTTATTTTTTTTTAAAACTATGTCATAGATAGATCATTTAGCAAGGTAATGTCAACCAGAATAGCATAAACACTACATTTTGTCGTATTGGAATAAAATAGAGAATTAGTGGAAGAAAATAAGAAAGCCAAATGGAATGTAAAGCATCAATTACAAATGTATGAAATGAGATCTTAATTAAAGATTCATATTATCTTTATAGTAAAAGATTGCAAAAACAGTCAAGAAAACAAAGTGACAATATGACCAAACAAAGTGAACAAAGCTCAATATCTATAAAGATAACAACCCTCATACAAG